TTCTATCTGCCTCGGTCTCTATCTCAAAGCAAGGGTGGGGGGAAAGAGAGGTGGGGAGTGACCAGGATGCTGTCATCACAGACTGGCTCATACCTGCTGGGCATATTCAAGGTCCCATGAGGGACACACCCAGTCTGATACATCTCAGCCCTTTAAAGTTGAGGCCCCAAGCCAGCTCAGAGTCCTCAGAGCATGATAAGTGCAAGCCCAAGGCCTAGACACAAACATAAGGGTGGCCTCTTGACCTCCATTTTAGTGCCCATAAAATTAGGCAGATGCTCTTACTTGGAAATGAGTGGGAATGAGTTAGATAGGTTACATGGGCACAGGAAGCACAGTAATCCTATGGGTGTGAACTCATATACACATCTGCGTATATTTGCACACAGATATCATGTACATACATGGATGTCCATAGGAATGATACTTTGATTGGATGTAGAACATCAGGGTGGACTCCCAGCATTATAGTCACTACTTTTTTTTTTGAAGAGAGTTTTCACAAGTATAGGTGTTTTGTCTGCATGTATGTGTGTCTGTATATCACTTGTATGCCTGGTGCCTACAGTGGTCAGAAGGGGGTATCATATACCCTGGAACTAGAGTTACAGATGGTCGTGAGGCACTGTTCTGGTGTTGGGAGTAGAACCTGGGTCCTCTGGAAAAGCAATGGTGCTTTTAACGACTGAGTCATCTCTCCTGCTTTTTTTTTATTTCACGTGTTTATTTTGGCAGTACTAGGGATTGAAGCTAGGGCATCAAGCATAGGGGGCAACTGCTCTACCACTAAACCACATCTCCAGCCCCCTTTTGATAGTTGCCAGGCCCAGGCTAGAGTCCCAAGTAGACTGGAATTTGGCCTAACCGTTTGAACATTGGGTACAGCCAATATTGGGAACAGAATCCAGGTCAATTGGGGTACCAGAGTGTATGCCAAGAGCTGTATTCTCTAGACTTGGGGAACCAGAACTTTGTGCTCCTACCAAGACAGAGGGTCCTCGGGGAGATTCCTATGCCAGACACTGTCTGTGGGCTTCAGGCTACAACTACTAAGCCTTTGATTAGAATCTCTATACATCAGATCTGACATATAGCTTGATTGGGAAAATATGTGGACAAGACTCTTTCCTTAGGATGTCAATCATTCACTTGCTAAGACACATATACACAGACACCAAAACTTGTTAGTTTTAACAAAATATTTTAAGATTTTTATGTGTATGGATGTTTTACCTACATACATGACTGTACCACATTTTTGTTGTTGTTGTTGTTTGATACAGGGTTTCTCTGTATTGTTTTGGAGGCTGTCCTGGAACTCGCTCTGTAGACCAGGCTGGCCTCAAACTCACAGAGATCCGCCTGCCTCTGCCTCCCTCCTGAGTGCTGGGATTAAAGGCATGTGCCACCAAAGCCTGGCAACTGTACCCCATTTACAATGCCAAAGGAGACTAGAAGAGGGTGTTGCATCCTTTAGAACTGCAGTTAACAGACACTTGTGAGCTGCCATGCAGGTGCTGGGATTCAAACTCAGGTCCTCTGGAAGAGCCATCTAGTGCTCTTAACCACTGAGCTGTCTCTCCAGCCCGACTTGCTTGTTATTTAATTAATAGAGAACTAGAGAAATGGTTCAGTGTTGAAGAGTTTGCAGACTTTTAAAAATATCTTAAATGGCCGGGCGTTGGTGGCGCACGCCTTTAATCCCAGCACTCGGGAGGCAGAGGCAGGCGGATCTCTGTGAGTTCGAGACCAGCCTGGACTACCAAGCGAGTTCCAGGACAGCCTCCAAAGCCACAGAGAAACCCTGTCTCGAAAAACCAAAAAAAAAATATCTTAAATGAGGTGTATAAAGTGTTCTCTTTTTAGTTAGTTTTTATTTTGTGTGTATGGGTGTTTTGCTTGCATGCCCAGATGTGTACCACAAGCCTGTCTGCAAACCAGAAGAGTGTATTAGACCCCATTATAGACACTTGTGAGTCACTATGTGGGTGTTGGGAATTGAACTCAGGACCCCTGGAAGAGCAGCCAGTGCTCCTAATCTCTGAGCCATCTCTCCAGCCCATCCAGCCAGATGTTTTTATTTTTAATTGGGTTTCTCTGAGTATGGTGACACATGTCTTTAATCATAATATTTAAGGGGCAGTGAATATCTGTGAGATCAGGCCAGACTGATCTACATAGCGAGTTCCAGGCCAGCCAGAGTTACATGGTGAGACCCTGTCTCAAAAAACTGTGAGTTAGACAGAGAGAGAGAGAGAGAGAGAGAGAGAGAGAGAGAGAGAGAGAGAGAGAATGTGCACACTGACTCACACTGTTGCCCAGGGGTTGTTCCTAGGCACTGAGTAGGTAGAACCACAGGTGCAAGCCACACACTCAGCTACTTACCATCTACTGAACAAATGAGACTGTCCATCAAAGTAGTCTCGGGACACATGAGTAGGGCAAGAGTGGATTCCTCTGAGAAGCCATGGAAGAATTTTGAGGACAGGAAATAATTTTAGAAAGGCACGAAGGAGACAATCCAGGAAGAGGAGAGCACTTAATCATGGAGGTGAGAGAGTTTTGAAAATACAAAGGAGTTTTACCAGCACAGGGTTCACTGAGAAGAAGGAAGATGGTTCTGGAGAGAACCTGGTCTGTATGAAGAGCTATGAATGCTGTTGGGATTGTGGAGCTTTGTGAGAGTATGAGGTTTTAGGGTGAACAAGTGGTGTGACAGGAGGGACATGTTAGGGATTAGTCTGTCAGCAAGGAGGTCAACGGAGGGTGTGGGATTAGTGGGAAGAGACTGTGCTAGGCAGAGGCTCAGGTCTGCACAAATGAGGGCACATTGGAAACCCTAGCATAAGGAATACAGTGCCTCAGGCCTCTGGGTATTATTTTCTGGCTCTGTCCTCTGGCAGGGAGGCCTCAGTTCTCTCTTAGAGCCTTCTGGCCTGGCTGGGGCAGGGTCCTTGAAACCACCAGAGCATGAACTAGCTCCTGCGGCCAAATGGGCCACTCTCTGAGCCTCATCTACCAGATCTGTTCTACTTAAGAGATTCAGAAGCTCTAGCCTGGAAATCCCCAGGACGGGTGTTGGCAGTTTCTCCCCAAGTGTCTCACAGGCCATTGCAAGAACTGGGGCCTGGTGCATGAACTTGGTGGGATTTTGGGGATGAAGAGTCTGGAAAGCTCTCACTCTGCTGGCCCTAAGTTTGAATACATATGCCAGCAGGCCAGGTAGAGTGGTAAGGACTTACTTGGCATCACACAGTTGGGACACAGGACTGGAAGCCAGATCTCACTGGAGAGACTCAGAACCCTGGAGTTCAGACCCTCTGGTGCAGGTGGAGGGGTCCTGTGATTTAAACTTCTGCCATTGACTATGGCTTAATTACTTTGGGATGTTCCTTAGACTCTCCTGGTCTGTTTCTTCAACTGTAAGAGGAGGATACTACCTACTTTTGGGGATTATTGTGAAGGTTAAAAAGCAGCCGAGTGCTTGGCATATGGTAAGTGTTCAATGTCAGCTGGAGATCTGGCAGAAGCAATAGTAGATGTCACCCCCAGTGCCCCCCCCGTTTCCTCTCTCTGAGACTCCTGTAGCTTAGGCTGCCATTTACCTCTTGAACCTCATGTCTACCTACCAACTGCTGGGATTACAAGCGCGTGCCTGCATTCTGTTTTTCCATATGTAAACCAGCACCAACAATCCCTGTCTTGTCACTTCTCTGTCCTGTTCGGGTAGCAACGTGGACTAAATAAGGTGTGTAAACGTCTTAGGGCAGAGCTGTCTCCAGGTCAATGTTTGTTCAGCTTAGAGCAATTTCTTTCTAAGGCCTACTCTGACCAAATTTCCCATCAGCCCCACCAGCTCCCCCACACTCGCAGGTGCTCCTTTGTAACTGCGGGAGGGGAAAGGTCCGCTCAAGCCCAGGGGAAAAGGGAGAGCTGGGAAACCGCGTAGGGACGAGATGAGACAGAGGAGGGATAGCAGACAAGAAGGGCAGTGTGAGGAAGAGTCGTAAGGACAAGGAGAGGGGGTGGAAGGGACTTACAGATGGAGTGTAGTGGGGGTGGAGGGGTCCTCCTGTACTGAGATGCAGGCTAAGGGATGTGCGGAGCACCGGGGCACGTGAAAGAGCAAGGCTACGTGCAGAAAGCGCAGCGAGATCGAATCCTTGCGGAAGAATGGGGGGGTCGCCGTCAGTGCGAGGTCTGTGGATGACTGGGGGCAGGGAATTTGGGCCATCACCTCCACTCAGTCGGAGGTTCGGAGTGCAGATCCCGGGCTGCAGCCAACCGCGGAGGGGCGGGGAAAGAACATTGGACGCCCGCGATTGGCCGCCCCTCCGACGGCCGCTGACGCGAGCGGGCGGGCCCCTTTGTGACGTCACAATCAGCTGTTGGACCGTTCGGATTTGTGCCGTGAGCTCCGGCGCAGCGGCCGCAGCAGCTCCGGGCGTCCGATTGCGAGCCCCGCTGTCTCCCGGCCAGTCCCCGGTATGCGGCCCAGGCTGTGAGCACCGGCGCCCCGGGGACGCCCGGCCGCACAACTACCTCAGCGCACCGATTGCCGCAGCCGCCCCTGGTGAGTCCTGACCGCCGCGGGGCCGGGGGCTCCGGGCGCTCCAGGACACGCCCTGCGCCCCCCTCTCCGGTTCTTTGTCTGTCTCCGCCGGCGGCCCCTGGAGCTGCGTTCTCGGCTCTCTATTGGTTGCCCCAAGCCGGTAGGCCATGACGTCGCTTATTTGCATATGACATTGAGACGTCACCAAGGCCAGCCCCGCCTTCCAGGCTTGCTTGGGTGCTTGTCCTCTGGTGACCCGGTGGGTGCTGTGTTGAGTGAGCCCGGCCCAGGGTTGAAAGGCAAGCGGGACCCGAGGGGACTCGGCGGTTTCCCGGGCTAATCTAGAGAATGCGGTCGGGGCTCTCATCTGCTTTTTCCTTGCGACCTGAGGAAGGGTCAGACGGTACAGCTCGAGCTAGGTTGAGAGGGTGGTCGGTGGATGAAAGAGGCTTCAGACTGCCGGTCCCTGAGACAGCACCAGATGGCAGTGAATGTCCTTTCTTCAGGCTCCGCCCCCAACATAATAACATCCTTTTAATCCCTGACATGTGTGCAAAGCCTTAGTTGATGTCATTTTCAGCCTACAAATATTGAGGGTCTTAAATTCTATTTCATGGAAGGGGAAACTGAGACCCAGAGAGACACAGCTTACTGGAGATCTCAACCAATTAGAGTCACACTCAATGAGTGACAGGTTCCTTAGCTGTGGGCAAATGCTTAGTACAAGCTTAGTTCAATTAACCAACTATATATCCATCTACTGGGGACCCTGTCTTGGGCTCAGCATCCCCTCAATTTGATAGGGTCTTTCAATCTTCCCGATTCTGGACATTTTTCCAGGAGGTTTCTGAAGATTGGGCCCGTTTCAAGGCGACCTTCTCTGCCTTCTCTCTATCTTACAACCCAATAAGTGGCAGTCTCCCAGCTGTTTTGATCCCAGAAAGGTGAGTCACTAGTTGCCTGCCTCCGGTGTCTCCCAGGCAGATGTTGTCGAGAATGAGCTGGGAGTTCCCTTTATTGGCCTCTCATCACCTTGTCAGATCCCAAGCTGTCAGCTAGGAGGAACCAGACCTTCCCTAGCACAGGTGCTGTCGGGAGAGTTTGCTTCCAGAGGAGCAGAATGGTTCTTTCTTTCCAAGTGAGTAGATGTGGAGGCTGAATCTGGATCTTCTTCCCAGGCTGGGGTTTGTTCAAGAATGGCCTGGGCTAGGGGTGGCTTAGGGCTCAAGTGCTATTCTGGGCACAGCTGCTGTAGTATTAAGGGAAGGTTCTTCCTGGAGTGGAGCCAGGAAACTGAGAACCAGGAAGCCAGCAGGCTAGGGAAGAAAACCCAGGAGGCTCTCCTTGTGGTCAAGGGGAAGAGTGGGCAGTTATAGCTGGCTGGTTGTTGTCATCTCTCCTGGCTGTCACTGCTGCATGATCTCCACGGGGGAACTTCTCTGCTGAGCCTCTTACCTCTCTCAACATGCCATCAGTTGAAGTTCCTTGCAGGGTCTACTACAGTGGGAACCCTGGGATCTCCACATCATTCTATGGATAGGCAGAAGGGTGATGGCTGAATCAAGTCCAGTCTCCCTGTCTTCTGTGCACTCTTCCATTCTAGGATATGATCTCTGAGGCTTTTCTGATTATATATGCTCTGCATTGCCCCACCACTACTAAGCTGTAGCTTTTTGGATAGATTAATGTTATCACTTTGAGGTCTGTATTCCTAGAACAGGGGGCTTTTTCCGTGTCTTGGTCCAGGGAAGGGCTGTCTGAAGGTTTGGGTCTTGGTCCAACCCTTGTGTTTATCCTTAAGGGCTGCTTGGATCTGACTGCTTCCTTCTTCCATCATCATCTGCCTCTGACATGTTGTTTAACTAGGGTCAGGCAACCCAATATTCTTTGTCTTGGCTAGAGATGCTGTCCTTGAACAAGAGTCTGGAGAAAAGGAGTCAGAGTAGGGAGGACCTGTGAGCATAGGATCTTACACCTCATCTGGAATACACATCTGAGGGTTGTCCAATCCCATGGTGAGATTGTAGCACTTTTCAAGCCACACAAGGTCCTATGAGTATTCTTGATCTCTGGTTGCTGCTTGGAAAAACCTTGCTGAAATCCAAGATCCTTTTTACCCCTAGAAAACACACCTAGACACAACCCTATTTACAAAACTAAAAATGTCCAGTCTAGACAGATACCCAGAAAAGGTAGGAGTGGACTATAGGGATTATGGAGCCACTGGTTATCTAGATTCAAATGCTACCTGTGTCTTTTATTAGTTGTGAGACTTTGGGCTAATTGCCTCACCTCTCTGAGTCTTGTTTTATTTCTCTCTTTACCAGAAAAAAGAGTAGACATTTTCTCTCCCTTTCTGTTCCTTTTGACAGGATCTCATATAGCCAAGGACTGTTTATTTATTTATTTATTTATTTTTAGGTAGGGTCTCATGTAGCTCAGACTGGCTTTAAACACACTAGGTAGCCAAAGCAGGACTCGAACTCCTGATCTTCTTGCCTCCACTTTACTAGGATGACAGATGTGGCTTACCATGTCTGACTTTAAACTTTTTGATCCTCTTGTCTCTCTTCCAAACACTAAGATAACATGTTTGCACCTTCATACCTTGCTCTAATTTTGTTTTGTTGTGAGGACTACATAGGTAAAATAGATGAAGTTGCTTAGGATGGTACCTGACACATTAATGTTAATTTTATGATGATGATAGTAAAGGCAGTTTGTTCCCTCAATGGAAATTTCCTATTTACTTTTTTCAAAGCTGTTCCATCCTCCAGAAACCTTCCATGGCAAAGCCTGGCCATATATACCACTTCTTCCATATCCCAAAGCAGCCTGTAGTAACAGCAAGTTTATTAGCTTATTGGACACTTATGTGTGCTCAAGCACTGTTCTAAACACATTCTGTTTAGTTCACTTAATTCTTATTAGGGTGTTATTGTTGTTTGACAAATAAGAAAACAAAGACCAACAGTTTCCTGAATTCACACAGGAAAGCCTACTGACCGCAGAAAAGCACACACAGGAAAGAGCCTACCTATGCTTCTCCATTGCCTCTGCTCAGGGTGCTGGAGCCCTCTGTCCCCCAGCCACCGTCAATGGTAGACTCTAGCCTAATGTCTTTCTGTGCTTCCCAGGTTTTCGCACTGCCATAGGGCGCCCCCTTGAGGTTGCTTCACCCGCTGACCATGTTCCAGCGCTTTACCAGCCTTTTCTTCAGCAATCCTTCGCCTCCTGAAGACTCCAACTGTCCCGGGGCCTTCGTCTCAGAGGAGGATGAAGTGGATGGCTGGCTCATCATTGACCTGCAGGGTGAGGTCTGAGTCAGGGGGCCAGCACTCTGATTCCCAAGCCCCTGAAGGCATCATAAGGACGGGGAGGCCTTGCAATATGGAAGGGGAAGGTGGTTATTTGGGAATTGGAGTCCCCCTAGGCATCCTGGGCAAAGTGAAGTTGAGGCAGTAACACAGACCCTTCTCCCGAAAGCCCTGTTTGTCTTCTCATTTGTTGGGGGCATACACCTGGGGCCCCCTAGGGCAGCAGGGTAAGGACCCTGACCCTCAGGTGCTCTCTGGACACGATGGACAGGGGCTATAGGTCTGACTAACGATGCCCTTTCTCTCCCCATCCCCTGTGTCCGGTATGTGTGCGTGTGTCCCCCCCTCCATCCCCCCTGCTGCTGCTGCTCTGCATGGCTCCCCACTCCCACACCCTATAGACAGCTACACAACTCCCCCAAACCCTGGGGCCTCTCCTGCTCCCGCAGGCCGCCCTCCACCTGCGCCCTCCTTGATGGACGAGAGCTGGTTTGTTACCCCTCCCGCCTGTTTTACTGCAGAGGGGCCTGGTCTTGGGCCCGCGCGCCTCCAGAGCAACCCCCTGGAGGACCTCCTCATTGAGCATCCCAGCATGTCCGTTTATGTCACCGGCAGCACCATAGTGCTGGAGTCTGGGCCACCTTCCCCTCATCCTGACACTGCCTTGCCTGATCAGGATCTCAGTGATGGGTGAGTGGGCAGGCTAGGGTCTAGGAGCCTAGCAGAGGAGTGTCCTTGAGACAAAGGGCGGGGCCAGGTGGGTAGGGATCACTGATGGTCTTGTGGCTAAGATGGGGCTTGGGAGAGTCTTGGCTCAGAGGACTGGGGCCATCTAGAACTGCTAAGCCAGAGCGCAGAGTGGGGCTTGTATTGTTGGGGGGGCGTGGAACCCTCTCCCTATCCTTCCTGTCTAGTTTATCTGCCTCAGGGGTAACTATAAGAAACATCTGTAATTGGGATTGAGGCAAGAGTTGGTACCCCTCGGTTAGGGCATTCATAAGAGGTTAGGCCCCGAAGAGACAGGGTGGGAGACTCGAGTCCCCTGTCCCCCTCTGACATTTGTACTTTGTCCCTGCAGAGAGTTGGCGGCGCCTGCCCGCCGGGAGCCCAGGGCTCTGCACCACACAGCAGCTGCTGCTGTGCCTGCGCGGGCTGTGCTGCTGGAGAAGGCCGGCCAGGTGCGGAGGCTGCAGAGGGCCCGGCAGCGGGCAGAGCGCCATGCCTTGAGTGCTAAAGTGCTGCAGCGGCAGAATCGGGCCCGGGAAAGTCGTTCTCGCCGGCCCAAGCACCAGGGTAGCTTCATTTACCAGCCGTGCCAGCGCCAGTTCAACTACTGAGCGCCCCCACTGCACCTCGAATCCTGCAGTTTCCTGGTCTCATCTGCCTCCTCTGCAGCAGCCAGTGTGCTGCTCGAGGGCTGTCCAGGGTCCGCCTGCCTCCATCTGGATACCACAGCCTCCCTCCTTCCTAAGTGTTTGAGGTGGGATGATGGCCCTCCACTCCCGGGTTTCTCAGTTTCTGAACTAATTCACCTGCTAACCTCTTTCATCCAGGGTCACCCTCCCCACCTCTGTTTCTGATTCTTCACCATCTCACTCCCCACTCCTACCCTCCCATCTCCCCTTTCAGACCCCTAACCTTGTCATCCTGCTTCTTCACTTTTGTCCTCCTAACCCACCGATTTTAAGAAGCCTCTCCCACCATGACCTGGCACAGTCTCCAACTTCCAGCTCCTACTTTCCAAGACTTACTCTTTTCTGTTCGGTATTGCTCCTGTTCCCTTTTTCATTCCTGGCAATTCCCTCCCCCAATCCTGACTAGGTACAACCTGCCAGGCCTGGGCCATTGTTCTTACCCTGTAGTCAGGTGTCAGGCTCAGGGTTTTGATTTCAGTTTTCTTCCTCTGTCTGCCTTGGGGGCTGAGCTCCTTGGAGCTGCTTAGGCCTGGAAAGTTTAAGTATGTGGAGGAGGACAGTGAGTTGTAAGTTAGATAAGGTGAAGGGAATAGAGAGAAAGCAGGCAGTCTATTGGGAAATGCAGACAGGGACAGATGGGTTGAGACACAGCAGGGAGCAGGGCATTGTGAGAGCCGGCACTGGGCACTGTGCTTGGTCAGAGGAGCTAAGCCCTGGTCTTAGGCTTGAGCCTGGAGTCTGCCCCCATTTCCTTTTCCTGTAATCCTTCCTTCCAGAATACCCCCTACCCCTCGTGTGAGTCTTGAGTCAGAAGGGCTTGTACCTTGTCACCTTCCCTTGACATTGCCACCCCAGGAGTAGAAGCTGGGTAATGCCCTGACATCCTGGCCATCTTTGTTCACATGCCCAAGGTGCTAGAATTAGGAGACGCAGGCCAGAGGGCTTCTAGGCAGGGAAAAGGGTATATACCCCAAGGCAAGAATGCAGAAGAATGATGCTAAGGATACCTTTGGGGTAAAGCCATCCCCAGACTGACAGCTCTGCCTTCATCTTGCCTCTGGCCTTATACTTCATACTTTGCTCAATGTGGCTGATTAATAAACACTCCTGGATTAGGAGGCCAGGAGTCTCACCGTTCCAGTTCCCAAATTTTTCTTACAGAAGTTCAGGGCCTTCAAGTGGCTTCTTAATGCTTTCCCACAGGGCTCTTCCTGAGTCCCCTGTGGCCTTTCCTCCCCTTCTAGTCAAATAGCTGGAGTAAGGAATTCTTGGGTAGAGCACAGGGATGGGGTAGCCAGCTTCTTCCTTCTTGTGGTGGGGCTCAGACACCAGCAACAGCCTCTTGGGATGCCCCAAGTCGTTTCATATTCTTTCTAGCTGTCCTTTTTTAACTGTGTGCTCTTTCTTCCTCAAAAGTTTTAGATTTCCTGTTACATATTAACACAGGTCTTCCCTTTCACTTCAACTCCGCGTTTCCAGGCTTCAGAGCCAAGCCAGGGTTGGAGAAAACTGCATTCCTGAGGGTAAAAGTAGTCACCCTCTCCGATCCTTTCTCATCAGGCTTCATGTGGGGATGAGAGGGTGTCCCCAGGATGGGGACAGAGGAAGCCTTGCTAGGGTCACCTAGCCCAAGGATAAGCCAAATGCAAACTACACGCAGATCAAAACCTCACACCAGCTTATTAGGGCCCTAGTAGTTGATATCCTTGCTCCTGTCCCAAGTTCTTCAGTGACAACCTAATACAATACTCTTCCTGCTCTTCTAAGGTCACTTCCCAGCCAGCTTAGGGACTTCAGCACTTCCAAGAGCTGAAACTCCTCCAGCCCTTCTTGTCTATTCCTCACTGCCAGATGGGGCCTAGGCTCAGTCCTGGGCAAGTGCCCATGATCCTGCTGCTGTGGGATGTTTGATAGGGCATTTGGCTCAAATTTCAAAAGGCCTCGCTCCTGACCTGTCTTTCTAGAAGCTCCTGTAGTTCTAGAACCCTCCAATCTCTCATCTGACTGGTTGCAAGGCTCATTTTTCTTTTGTACTTTCCTATAGATTCTGTAGCATTTGAGTGTGGCAATATTTTAATTGTGTATAGATTTCTTAAGAACCAACACTACGCAGTCTCCTGCTAGTCTGCCTCCTGAAGCATCAGACCTTGTCATACTGTATTGACTGTGTATGTGCCTTTCACCTTGAGCATGCTTCAGGATTTTTTTTCTTAAACCACAGAACTTGAATATACAAGGGAACCAGAATTCACAAAGTCCTATGCAACCTAGACAGGAGGAGGTTAGAGAGTCTGTCTTGACTGATTTCAGAGACCCTAGAGCAATTTGTACCAGTTTGTATTAATGTCAATACTACCAGCACTTTGCCAAAACTAAGGATGTCAGAGGGACCTGTTTCTAGAGTGAGTCCCAATTACATCAAAGGGCAACTTCCAGCTTTCTCCAATAAGTCTGAGTGGTTCTCTTGAGCTGGTGTCACTTTCTAACCTTTGCCAGTCTAGCCCCAGCAGGGCACTATGTGTGTGTGAGTGCTGTTTGGTGCTGTTTTGGAGTATGCCTGCTCCCCAGCCTGGAATCCTCTGATCAACTTGCTGTGACCTATAATGTCTTAGGTGCAACAAGGACCCTACCAGAGCTCCTTGGGTGGCTTTCAAGATCCATGCAGCTTTGTGTGAGGGGACTGAATGCAGACAAACCACAGCCTACTCTAATACCTTCTTACCCTACCACCTAGTTCCAAATGGAACCAACAAGTTGAGTGCAGATCTGTTGGGTGTTTTGTGTTGAGACTGGCTGAAATGAAAAATCTTTGACTGATCATGTTGTGATGTGTCGACAGACTCAAGGACACGACCACCCTGACCTGGTCATGTAGCATGCCTGTGTGTGTGTAACAGGATTCTGAATGTTAGACTGTAATACTATTCCTGTATGGGAGAAAAAATAATATAAACAAATAAAAATCTATTTAAAGCACATTATGCTTTCTGCCTGAGCTGAGCTAAAGTCTAAAGAGACTCTATAATCTCAAGTATAGTCAAGACAGAGGGCGTTATTATTAGGCTGGCTTTGGCTCCAGTTTGTCATACAAGAGAGGAAGAGGGTACGTAAGTTCTCTGGAAAGAGACAATATAGGGTTCAACTCATAAAATATTTTTAGAAGACCCTTGTAAGACACATATATGAAGCCACCTGAAATACAGGAATGAAAACAGAAGCACAATGGAGACACTGGCCATTCTTTTAGTCCCAAGCACTGGGTTATAGGACAAGGAGCTGCCCATTTAACAGCAGAACTGTGCTAAGACAACCTTGCTGGCCAGTCTGAGAGCATGTGAATGGAGCAGCACAGGAATGAAGTGGGGGAAGTGCCATCTGTGTTGCTGACGGTCTCTTGCCTCTAACAATCCCAGGTGCCTTTGATGGAGGGTTGGTTCTACTTTCTGAGACGAGGTCTTAGGTAGCCCAACCTGGTCTCGAACTCTCCATGTAGCTGAAGATGACCTTGAACTCATGGTTCTTTTTGGTTTTTCAAGACAGGATTTCTCTGTGTAACAGCCCAGGCTCTCCTAGAACTCGCTTTATAGACCAGGCTTGCCTCAAACTCAGATCTGCCTGCCTCCACCTCCTGAATGCTGGGATTAAAGGCTTGCACTATACTGCTTGTACTCGTGATTCTTATGCCTCTACTTCCCAAGCACTGTGATTACTAGTGTGTGCTACCATACTCGGTGATTGATTATTTGTAAACAAATGAAATTAGACTCTCTCTCTCTCTCTCTCTCTCTCTCTCTCTCTCTCTCTCTCTCTCTCTCTCTCTCTCTCTCTCTCTCCCTCCCTCCCTCTCTCTCTCTCCCTCTATGTTGCTAATTTTGGTTTCTTCAAAACCAAAAATAAGTTGTGTGAGCAGATGGACACATTTTCTTCATCAGGCAGGTAGATCTGAGTTACAAAGAAGGCTGTGTCTACTCATCTATGATTTAAAAAAAAAGGCTTGCTTACCTCTTTCCAATAACACACATTAAAGTTCTATGACAAAGACATTTATTTAACACGTTCAATATTTCACATTGTACAAACCCTTAGATTCTCTTTATTCACTGGTCCATTTCTACAACAAATACATCCAAAACACTATATAATAAAATTATTTACAACATTTCCAAATGACAAGATTGCTTTTTGCCCCACTACTGCTATTCACACACAGTACTTCCACAGCACAATACATCATTAGAAGATCTACAAATGCTCACCCTGTACTCTAGGCTGCTTAAGAAATGTGAAACTAATAACATTTATAATGGCATTAGCTCCTTTCAATACATGGCAACATTTTAGAAGCCTTAAACTTCATTTTGCAACACCAAAAGGGCTGCTCCCCATTACACTTTATGAAACAACAGGTTTCAGGGACTAGGAAAAGGACTGAGTTATTAAAATGACTAACTGTACAGAAATAGATTAAAAAGTCACAGCTGAAAATTGCTCTTTGTAAAATTCACACACATTTACAAGTATCAAGTCATCTTCCAGCTTGCTTACTTGGATTTTCTTCGCTTGGATTGCACTGCACCAGTTATATCTGTTGGGAGAGGAAGGAAGGATATGTTCAACAAAGGTAGCAGTGCCCTTCAGGTTGTCCACAATGTCTAGAATTGACATAGTGGAGCCCGATTAGGCTTCGAATCAGTTTAAGGGACACACGATTTGAAAACAGTCACAGCTTTGCCTGCTGACTTATGTGGTAAAAGAGAGTGGCCCTTATATCAAGACCTGCCAATTGGGGAAATGTAATGAAGATCAGGGAGATGGCTCAGTGGGTAAAATCACTTGCTACCAAACCCAGATTCAATCCCTGGGTCCCACATGGTATTTGTTGCTCTGTAGGCCAAGCTGGCCTCAAATTCACAGAGATCCACCTGTCTCTGCCTCCTGAGTGCTGGGATTAAAGGCGTGCGCCACCACTCAGCATGGCAAAGCACTTTTATCTGCTTTATCTCTACCCCACCCTCACCAACATGACCCCTCGCAAGCTGTACAATCAGCAATCTCCCTCAATTCACATCACTCAATGAAGTTATAGTCACACTAACAGTGTTTTTGGTGAGACACCAGCAAGTGAGTGAATTGCCCCAGAAACTAGACTTTGGCTGTGTTTTGTAGCCAACCCATTATTCTGCAGTAAGGAACACTTCTTGATATGCTACAGTAAAAGTCTCTAAACTACATGACATGGATCTTAGTCAAGGTCTTCTGTGGCCCAAATATATGGAGGCTTTGAAGGGCTAGGATTACACAGCTCTATCAGCAGAGCACCTGCCAAGCATGTATGAGGCCCTGAACTTAATCTCTAGAACCACCCCACCACACCCCAAAACAGGGTACACATACACGGAAGCATTTCACAACAGGGAACAGCATCCCTGAACTTGAAGGCTTCGTAAGTGACAACTGAATGATTTATACATAGTAACTGACATAAAAGGGAAAGACTGCTTTGATTCCTTTAACTTCCCTTATACATATCAATGTCTCAAGTCAAGCTACTCTTGTCTCTAAATATTTAAAACTTTTCCAGTCTTCTATGGCCGAGTACAGTAGTACCCTGAAGCTCTGCAAATGTAAACATCTGTTTAGAATCTAACTGTATTGACTTACTTTTCATTCTGCTGCATGATATTTTAGTTTTTATACAAAATATTTTATCTTGGTACTGTGGCACACTTGTAATTACACCTGTCAATCTCAGCACTTGGAAGGTACAGGCAAGGGGGTCATCTTTGATAAATATAGGGTCTTGAGGACAGCCTTGGGGCTATATGACATGTTATAAATAACAAAAGTAAACTCCAAATCCAAACAATGTTTTAAATACCTCTCATTGAGATGAATTTTCTGATGCTACATTACCAGGTTCAGTATTCTAAGCAAAACTGCTTTTTTAAAAATCATAATACTTTGAGAACCCAGGCCACCAGAAACAGATGCGAGAAGCAAAATGTTTATTGCTGTTAACTCTGGTCATTGTCACACAGGTCAGTAATCAACTACTAATTAATACAAGGTCACTCTGCAGTCCAGGCTGTCTGTAACTCACTGCTAGTGCAGGCTAGTCTCAAATTTGTGGTTCATCCTCCCACTTCAGCCCCTCAAGTGCTGGGATTATAGGCATGGGTCACCATCCTGTCCCTATAATCAACTCTTTATGTCCAATTCTCAAGTTTGATTTTCACTGCAGTAAACTTATTTGAAGTGAAAATATACAGGGTTTTACCTTGACATTGTTCGTCCTTAGAAAACTATGTGGGCTGAGAAGATAGCTCACTTGGTGAAGCGCTGGCGGGGCAAATGTGGGAAGTCGAGTTTGGATCCCCAGCACCCATACAAAAAGCCAGGGCAGCAGTGCATGCTTGTAATCCCAGTGCTTGGGAAGAAAAAAACCAGGCAGCTCCCTGGAGCTTGCTGGCCAGCTAGCCTGGAACAATGAGCAAGGTCAGTTCATTGATAGACTACTGTCTCAAAAAAATAAGTTGGAGGCTCCTCAGAGATGGCTCAGTGGTTAAGAGCAGCTGCTCTTCCAGAGGACCTAGGTTCAATTCCCAGTACCCACATGGCAGCTCACAACTGTCTGTAACTCCAGTTCCAGGGGATCCAATACCTTCATACAGACATACATGCAGACAAACACAAATGTACATGAAATAAAAATAACTTATTAAAAAAATAAGGTGGGGACTGGCTGATACCCAACACTCACATTTGGCTTCCATGTGTTTGTACACACATGTGTACACACCTGAAAGTATGTATATATGAAAATGAAAAAATTAAAAAGAAGCTATCAGTTAGGTCAACTATAGAAACATCTCCCTTATGTATGAAGAATCAAATAATGGATGGGTGAGGTGGTATACACCTTTAATCCCAGCACTAAAGAGGCAAAGGCAGGAGGATTTCTCTGAGTTTGAGAGCTATATGGTCTAAGTAGCAAATTCCAGAACAGTCAGGACTACACAGAAAAACCCTGCCTCAAAAAATAAAATAAAAATCAAATGGTATGTCTGAGATTTAGACAGATATAACTAGAAAATGAGGTGGGGAGAGAAGCCTGAGCAACGTCAGATTCCACCTCCTTTTATTTCCAAGTCAATGAATTGGAATACTGCCTTTGAGTACAAATCAACATATAAGGCCCTCAGTAAAGGTGGTGATATATTTTTATAAAAATGTCTTTTAGGCCCCCCCACAAAGACCAACTCTTGGCAGACCTTACAGCAAAATTAATAATACCCCTTAAAGCCATTTAAGACTATTCACTTTTTTGGTTTTGGAGACAAGAGTTTCTCTGTGTAACAGCCCCTAGCTGTCCTGAAACTAGCTCTGTAGATCAGGCTGGCCTCAAACTCATAGAGATTCATCTGCCTCTGCTGAGTGCTGGAATTAAAGGCCTGTGCCATCACACTCAGGCAAGACCATTTATTTAACTTGCTATTTTGCTGTGTACTCAACATATTTAACTTGCCCTTAAGAAAACAATGTAACCAGCTAGTGGTGGTGCGCGCCTTTAATTCAGCACTTGGGAGGCAGAGGTTGGTGGATTTCTTAGTTCGAGGCCAGCTGGTCTACAGAGCAAGCAAGTTCCAGGACAGGTAGAGCTACACAGAGAAACCCCGTCTTGGAAAAAAAAAAAAAAAAAAAAGAAAAAAGAATGTAACCAACTTTACTAAGCCTTGGATTTCCCATGCAATCAGGTTTTAGAACCTAAAATAAATGCATAGCTTTAATCATAGGTTAGATACTCTTCTGTGCCCCTGACCCAGAATGTGTGTATGTTCATGGTGTGGTAAACATTTGCTTAAAACAAATATCCACCATAAACACTACAAATGTGGTTATAGGTTGATAATATTTGCAGTGCTGTGTGGAGAGCTATGTGGTCAGGTGTGATCAGGAAGTGATTTCTTCCCTGTTGA